CTTCATAATAATAATAATAATAATAATAATAATAATAATAATGAGATGGCATAGTGGCACAGCAGGTAGTGTTGCTGCCTCCCACCAACATGCCAGTAGTTTGATTGGCCCTATCTTAATTGCCCCTAGGTGTGAATGAATAAGTGTGTATGGTCCCTGGTTACAGCTATCCTCTGTGTAACAGACACTGATTTGGTAAGTCAGTTTGAATACCTGTATTTCCTTTGGTCCTTATATACCCACAATGGATGGATGGATGGATGGATTGGTGGATGGTTAAATAATTGGATGAATAAAAAGGTGGATGGGTAGATGAATACATAAATGGGTTTGGTTGGATGTATGGATGGATGGGTTAATAAACTGATGGATGAAAGGATGGAAAGTTGGATAGATGAATAAATAAAGAGGGGGAGTGGATGAATTGATAGATAGATGGATGAATGGATGGAGATACAGGGAGTATAAATAAATGGATGGATGGATGGATGGATGGATGGTTAAACTGATGGATGAAAGGATGGAGTTATAGAAAGATGAATAAATAAATAAACAGATGGGTGGATAGTTAAATAACTGGTTGGATGGATGGATGGATGGATGGATGGATGGATGGATGGATGGATGGGTAGATTAATACAAAAATAGGTTTGTGGGTGGATGGATGGGTGGATGGATGGATGGATGGATGGATAAATGGACGGACGGATGGTTACATAATTGGATGGATGGATACATAAGTGGGTTTGTGGATATATGGATGTATGGTTGGATGGATGGATGGATGGATGGATAGATTAATAAATTGATGGATGAAAGAATGGAAAGGTGGAGGGATGAAGTGAGTGAGTGGATGAATAGATAAATAAATAATAGATAATCATTAATAGCAAATACTAACTACCATCACAGAAGGAAGTGTGGTACAGTGCCTGTAGGGAAAGCTGTGTGATGAACACATACTGTACTTGTGGGTCAGCAGTTAGCTTTACACTCACAGCACGTCAATTCAAATTTAATTACAGACGTTTATCAGAGTGCCATTCGGAAAAGCCTCCATGATCAGAGAGTCTTTCTCACGCACTTCACACACGTCGTACACACAGAGATCATACATTTCTGAAAGCGTAGCACTGTATCCGCAGCTGAACTGTCCTCTGTTTCAAGTATTCCTGTACCATGTGGAGATCATTTCTTTATGAAGAAGACGCTCAAAGAAAATGATATGTTTGCCAAAATAGATCTAGGATCAGTGGTGAGTCCCTCCACCTTTGACAGGAAGAACCAAAGTTTTCCTTGTTCCTTTTGTTTACTGAGGTTAAAGTTAATGTGTAGGAATTTTGGTTAAAAATGAAAACATGAATTCCTGAGTCAGGGCAGAAAAACATACTCTAAAAAATTAAGCTCCTGGGCTACTGTACTACAAGTCTCCTTGGAAATGCTGTAATAGTAATTCACTGTAATTCACAAACAGGGTTGTCAGGTTCCCAATTGGCAGGAAACGCGCACGTGTTATACGGCAGTTTAGATGTTCTACAGGTGCAGCGTTGCCACATGCCAGTGGGTGGACTGCCTACACCAAATTGCCCCTAGGTAAAAGTGAATGAGTGTGTGAATGTGTGTATGGTTCCAGTGGCTCCCTGTTACACTTATCCTGGGTGTAACTGACACTGACATGGTAATTCTGCTTGAATACTATTTTTGTGCTTAAATACTCACAACTCAAATTCCAATTTTTCCTGTGACATTATTTATAATAATAATAATAATATTTTTAAACAGAGCACTACAGATATAGTACTGCTACACTACCAACTATTTTACAGCCCATGTTTTGTATTTTTAGTGTATTTAAGTGAAGCGAAGAGACATCTAAGTGCACACACAGAACACACACCCAGAGCAGCCTTTTTTGCTGCAGCACCCAGGGAGCAGTTGGGGGTTTGGTGCCTTGCTCAAGGGTCTCACCTCAGTGGTGGTACCTACAATCCCTGCCAGACCTGAGACTCGAACCCACGACCTTCGGATTACAAGTCCGACTCGCTAACCATTAGGCCAAATCATTTCACACGTGTGTGTTTGCACATTATGTAGTCTTGCATACTGTTACGTGTTGCACATTGGCCCTGGAGAAACAACATTTCGTTCCAATGCATATAAGCTATATAGATGAATGACAATAAAAACCCACCTGACTTGACTTGACTAACCAGGAAACATTAGCAAGCTAGCTAAAAGACCAGCTCGTTTTAAAAGAGAGATGGTTTACCCTTTTACCTGGTACTCAGTAACTCTGACAGTCACACTGACATGTACAACAAAGTTTTTTTTTTTTAATTCTTAATTAATTATGGGCTGTGTCCCAAACCACATATACACCAATGGTGGCCAGACTATTGCTAAATCACTACTGAGGTATCCTATTTAGTGCCAACATTGCAGTTTGGAATACATCCCTGAATTCTCCTTGAATTATGCATTACTTGCCTCTTACAGACTTCAGATTATTCCACATAGTGAAGAAAAATGCAGCACAACCTTAGTGGTTGGAAATAGCATTTTAATCCCTGAGAGGACAGAATTCTAAAATCTTCATCTACATCATATCCACAACATACTTGGAAATGTTATTAGAGAACAGAAAACGCACAAAGGCATCTAAACTTGTCCAGAAATGCATAATTTATGAATATGCAAATTGGTAGCGGCCCCGACACTACACACCCTGCCCCCTTCTCATATAAGCTGCTGCTGTGTGGTCTGCTTTGCACGCCGGAATACGATTGGTTCTTTTCATAATGCAGTAGCACTTTAAAATAGATTTTCTAATACAATTTTTAGTTTCTTATAAGAACTCAGCAAAACAGTCTGTGTATTTTACAAACAATCGAGACTTCAATCTCAAGCATACAGAATATAAACAGCAAGCTTCAATCACCTGCAGGTGGATGAGCTAAAGCCGTGTATTTTTATGGGAGGATTTTACCTACAAAATAGTTGTAAAATGTACAAATACAACCTACATATGGATGAGTAGCTAAGAGCATGTCATGAAATGTAGTGAAGTGACCTAAAGTGGGGTCTAAAAGTCTGAGACCACATTGAAAATCTAGGGTTAGTTTTTATTCAAAATTGGAAATAAACAGAAGGTTTTAGCATTTTAAAATATTTAAAACAATGAAAGTAAATGTTCAATATCTTGAATATTTTATATTCAAGATTCTGCACTATTTCTAGGCCCCTACTTAAATGTAAGCAAATATTACAATAATATATAATATTAAAATAATGTGTGATATTGAGCATGTTAACTGCTTTGAACAAAAGGTCAGATTTTCCTCATGCCTAATCTCTGAAGGATTTGATCTAAAATGGATCATAAGGTTTTGCACAAACTTGTGGAGTCAGTGCCAGCTCGAGTGCACACTTTCATTAACGCAAAAAGGACCAAATGCTAAGAAACTCTGAAATTCATGTTAATTTTTCAAAGATATTACTTTTCACTCAAGCTGTTGTCCATAATATAATTTGTAATGAAAATTATGTAATAAATTAGAAAAGAATGCTAAATAGAAGCATTTTCACTAGTTCTCTCAGACGTTTGGAGCCCACCGCATATAAGCAGTGTGCATTTTTCTGGTGCATCTGGAAGACCTCACTATCCTGCCTAAGACATGCGCAAGACCAAGAGCAGTCCGCCAGACACACAAACAAAGACTGACCCTACATACTCCGCACTTGACTGAACTGCTAAGATGTCATACTTGACTGAATACAAGACCTCATTTATGCATGAAAGAAAGTGTGGTGTGAGTGTGTTCTGTGGGGATGAGTGAAAAAGAAACCATTCACTGGAGGGTTCTCATGATAATGTGAGCATTAGAGCCAGGCTACATAATACAGTATCGATATTATGATCAATTATATCACATAACACTTTTCTGACCCATCACAGGGGTCATCAGTATTTTTTTTTTTTTTTTATAAAATATAGTAACAAACTCTGGAAGCAGCTGTTTAGATGTTTATAATTTTTTGTATGGAATGAAAAATTGTAAAAAGCTAAAATTAGAATGGATTTCTATGACAATAAAGTTCACGACCTAGAGAAAGTGTGACATCATCCTTAGAGTGGACTTCTATGAAAATAAAGTTCAAAACATAAATAAGTGTGTTATTTGAATGGTGTTCTATTAAAAGGGGGACTGATTTGGCATATATATATAAATGCAGCAGGATGGACAGGGTCACATTTTGACAGACAGGTACACTATATGGCCAACAGTATGTGGACACCTGACCATCATACTCATATGTGGTTCTTCCCCAAACTGCTGCCACAAAGTTGGAAGCACACACTTGTATAGAATGTTTTTGTTTGCTGTACCATTACAATTTTCCTCCACTGGAACTAAGAAGCCCAAACCTGTTCCAGCATGACAATGCCCCTGTGCACAAAGCGAGCTCCATGAAGACATAATGTGCCAAGGTTGGAGTGGAAGAACTCGAGTGGCCTGCACAGAGCCCTGACCTCAACCTCACAGAACAAGTTTGGGATAAACTGGAATGCAGACTTCATTCAAGGCCTTCTTGACCAACATCAGTGTCAGACCTCACTAATGCTTTTTTTTTTTTTTGGCTGAATGGACAAATACTCACAGCTCCAAAATCTAGTGGAATGCCTTCCCAGAAGGGTAGAGGTTATTATAGCAGCGGCGGGGGTGGGGGGGGTATATGGGCTGGCTAAATCTGGAATGGGATATTCAATATTCTTTTGTATGAAGAAGTTGGTGAAATAAAATGGAAAATGGAAGAGTGTTATTAGTATTTCAGCTACTCCTGTTTGTGGTCGCCACCAAGATTCATTGGTCTGTGTTATTTGATTTGACCCAGTTTTTATGCCGGATGCCCCTCCTGATGCAACCGTCCCCAATTTTGTCCGGGCTTGGGACCGGCACTGAGAGCGCGCTGTTGCATGCAACCCCAGTGGCTGTGGTTAGTTCCCTGGCTGGGAATTGAACCCGGGCCGTAGCCGTGATGGCGCTTTGGCCTAACCACTAGTCCTCCAGGGACCCCCAGAAAATGGAAGAGTATGTGTCATGGAAAACGAACAGAAATGATTTCAGAGTGAACTGTCATTTAGCCTTCCATTCCAGGCTACAATCTACAATCCTGGTGAACAAGCAAACTCCTACGCAGATGTGACTTTGTCCATTCAATGCTATCTTTCTCCCTGTACTCTGCAGGAGTCAATCTGGAAAGGACACTTCATTTCAGTAGAAAAGCCTGCTCTTGTTGAGATGTGAGAACAGGCACTTTGCATGTGAACATGTCCACAGCCGTCCTCCCAGCAGCACAGTCTTTCATCCTGCTATCACACAGCTCATGGTGAGTGAAGGATTGTGGAGGAGGGAGATGACTGAGAGCAACTTGTAAGCAGCTACAAAAGTCTGCCAAGTGCTCTAATGTTCCTCAGCCCATTAAAAAGAGCTTTTTGGATTTTAGAGATTCCTCTGCAGCACTGGACAGAGAGCAAGTGCAGTAATTCTACCATTGCTTCTCCAAGGCAGCTTCATGCATAGAGGTTGGGTTCTTGCGGTTCTAGACCTCCTACTGCATGCTCCATATATTTCTCTAAAATATACAACCTTCTATCCACACACAAGCACAAACCTCAATAGAGCTGAAGGGAAAAACAGGTTATGGGTTGATCGGCCTTGCTCTAAACCAAACTTGTTTAGAGCCAGTGTTACTGGCAACACCACCAACAACAGCCAGATCTTCAAAAAATCAATAAAGCTGACAGAATTCTATCCCTATAATGTAATTTGTCTGCACTGACATGTTAAAAACGCTAGAGGCAAATGTAGGTGGCAGATGGTATTATCTAACCATCTACAGAAGGACATCTGGCTCACCGAATCTCAAGTTCAGTGACAGCCACTGACTCTATGACACAATCCCAGTGACTTAACACCCCAGATGCATAATTACAAAATGGTGTGTGAGCCATTCCCATCTGTCCAGAGGCCAATAACTGATGAAACCCTGCACAACACATCATGTTCATCTGTTAAACAACAGAATAAAGCCAACACTGACTATTGCCAACACCATCAGAGAGGAGTCCTTAACTACTTCATCCAACAATGCTTACATGGTTAACAATAAATTAGCACACAGTTTTAATGATAGTTAACTGCAAACAGCTATCATATTTAATTTGCAGAAAGCTAATTATTTCTAAAGGTATTCCCAATCAATAATTATTACCGACACTACTATTTCAGTTAGAGTGCTGAGAATGCTTACAGGATGATGATAAGTAGGTTCTCCTATGAAATCATCACCTCAGAGGCGAGGCACACCCGTACTGTCTTATAAGATTCCAGAAAAGATTGAAAGGTTTCTGGAAACTGAAACTGAATCTGATGGTAAGTTTTTTAAAAAGTTTCATAGAATCATCACACTGTACTGTAGTAATAGTTTCATTTTTTGTTAAGCTTTTTTCCTAGAAATGGTTAAAATCTTGAAACACACACAAAAAAAGGAAAATTATCCAGTTAGCATAAGCAACCTTGGATCCCAATAGCCACCAACACAATTAGGAAGTGACAGTGAAACCAGTCACATTTTGGTTTCCAGTGGATGGGACCATTTCCAATATGTGGCTAACTGGCATTGACTTAATTTTCCACGCATGCTGTGGCATTGAGAAAGCAGTTCACCGAGCTTAACCATATGCAGAAATTCAATATATCAAAGTGCTGCAAATGAGGAAGGTTAAAAGACAAATTTGGTTGCAGATTTGCTGTAAATTTAGGAAAATAATTGAGATAATGAGCAATGGATAATCATTGCCATTGTTATCAACCTACTGAGGAGTTACTACATGTTTACTTGGTGGTTTGTTGCTTAAACTTGTCACAGTCTTGCTTTATTTATGAATGGCAATCAGCAGTGTTGTTTGCTAATACTAGTACAGTGGCTGACTTCTTGATGGTCAAGTTGAACTGGAGTTGATCATTGCAGTTCACGATTATGTCGAAGGTCATTGTTCTTTTTTATTTTGAGGCAGCTGTGTGTATGATGTCAACACTGTGAATTATTCAGTCAAAAATTGTTTTCTTATCAGCACAAAATGATAAAAAGCAATAAAGGCCTAGACCAAAAACCTATAGTTTTTCACTGCATCAAAGGGATCAGAGAACATGGCTGCAGTTTACATATTGGACATAACTCTTGTTGATAAGAACCTTCTGTGATGCTCTGTACTGACCTTCCACCATCTAAGACACAAATAACAATGGAACACTTTCTACAGCCCTCTATTCAACTTCAGACCCATAGGTATTGTAGCAATTTGTGACTCTGTGTGTGTGGGTGTGTGTCTAACACTTTCCTTAAGAAAACTATGGTAGGCCTTCTTTTTCTGGGTAAGCGTGTGCGATATTAATTTTGCCTACCATTAAAAAAAACGTGATTAACAATTTAATCATTAAGAACTGATAGCTCAAAAAAAAAATACAGAAAAACAAACTTTTGCACCATCCCAGGCTTAGGCAGACTAGGTAAGGGCATAAAATATTACCAGTTGTTCAGTCAGGACCTGCTTCCCGGAAAAGGCAATCGCAAAAAACCTAAAAAATGGTGGATTTTTAGGTGATTCTGCAGTAATGCACTGTAAACAGTAAACACAACATAACAGGACTTTAGATATAAGCCTAAAAAGCTCATAAAAAGCTACTTTAACCACACTTTAACTGTTACAGGCCTGAAGAGCTATTGGTTCTGTTCTACTATAGTGAACTTCAAACATTCATGCAACATTTTGGACTGAAATTAGCAACAAGCTAGCCAGCGAATGTTAGTAATAACTCTAATGTTGAAGATTACCTTCTCAAAGCAGCAATTAGTATGGTCAGTGTTAGATTTAACCAAGTACTGTGTCTGTATATTAACTGATCTGAAGCCAATACTGCTATAAACTCATTTGAAAGTAGAGAAGGGGCACTTTACACTGTTCAGTCTGAGCGGCCATGTTGATTTGATGTCACTCTGTAAATGGGGAAGGAACTGGTAGTTGCGAAGACTACTCCAAGTTGATGAGTTGAAATTTCAAGTTGAGGGGGTGTTTTCCGTGGCTTAACTGGTTATAGGCAGGAAATTACAAGTTGCAACAAGTTGAAATTACAAGTCCCAGCTTGGTTTCCGGGTCAATGAAATGCACATGATTTTAATGTAGTGCACATAGATCATTGAGATGTTTTCACTAACTGACTAATCGTCACTGTTGATATGTGCAAGTGCTTGAGTATCTTGGACCACCCCTTGAGGTAAACACCTAAATGCAGACCATTTATCCAGTGAGAAACCTAAAGAGGAACAGTAGCAAGGAACACCCATATTTTGATTATGTCTCCTGAGCGTTGATTGGCTAGCATTTCCAAAGAGATTTCTCATAATATGGGTTGGCGGAAACAAGTAACATGCCTCCGGTGCTTCATAAGTTCCATTGTTTTGCTTTGCATTGTAATGTGAACATCTTCACCTCAAACGCAGCATAAATATCAAAGAGTTCAAAACACCTACAGAACTGTCAGTCATTCCAGATTAATTTTGCCAGTTGGCTCATCTCTGGAACAAGACTGCTCGTTTGGTATATTTTTGAGTGATAACTCATACTAGCATACTATGTTAATGAACTTAGATCCTACACAAAATGCATAAAAGATGGTCTGGTAATATAATCCTCTGGATAATGCCTCTGGATATCATGGCAGTGTAAGATCATGTAGAGATGATTAAACCGTTACCTCACACAAGCCTAATCTGAGGTTCAAGCAATAAAATTTGGGAAAAGTACTAGGAAATCTGTGAGTGAGCATAGTGTACAGACTGTGCAAAGTCTGTACAAACTGAAGGCACTGACGCCATTAAGAGGATAAGATTATCACTATCCCCAACAACATATTAATCACAAGCCCAAAGCTAAGCCTGGGAGCCAAAACATCCATTTGGAGTCATAACACCTAAAAGTAGTCTAAAGTGCTAGAGGAGAGTTGCTTTGGTTTCCAATGTCCCAGTGCCTGTCCTTCTCAGAGACAAACACTTTGCCATTTTATAACAATGTGAGATCTAGAAACAAGGCATCCAGTATTTGCCTGTTTATTTGTGGATAGTTAGCTCATTTCCATTAATACTTCACTTCCAGATTATTATGAACGCACCACAATGTGCTGAGCAGTGTGCGCGCACACACACACACACACACACACACACAAGCCTGCAGGCTGTTATGATTGCACCCCTTGTGTTAAGAATAGGGCTTTGAGAGCAGGAAAGGGAGAGGCATGACCTAGAAGAAAAGAATGAAAGCTCACTTTCATATGGAGGAAAAGAGAAAGGAATAAAAGAAAGAGTGAGAATGAAAGAATGGCAAGATTAATGAAGAGAGATCAGCATCTAATTCATGAGGGTTGAATCAACTGTGCAAGTAGCAATGTAGTGTCAAATCAAAGGGGGTCTATTACACACACACACACACACACACACACACACACACTCCTGGGGTGCATAAATATGAGCGAAAGTATCACTAATATATAAATATCACATCCCCCTTGTCTCCTTCTCCAGCACCCCACATCACCCCGAAACCTCCAGCAGCCCTGATCGAAAGCATTAAACTGGTTTCGAAGAAGGTCGTGAACTCTGGACTGTGTGTGAGTGTGTGGAGTGACTGAAAATAATTCCCTCCACTGATCCACACTCATATTTCATACCCCACACTGTGAGCCCTCATTCAGGAGCATTATGAGACCATGGAGTCCCAGTCTGCTGAGGAAACAATACAGGCTTATTTGAAAAAGGCATCCCATAAAGATAGGCTACAGTGATGCTAGCATGTGAAAGACCTGCTTGCGGTTTCATAAGGCCTATGAACAGACCTTTCCAGTCAAATGCAAAGGTTACGTAATCTGTAAAGTAATTGATTACATCTATCAGCTACAGCCCCCAGATTGGTTTCTGGGTCAGTGAAATGCACATGATTTTAATGTAGTGCGCATAG